CCCCTGAGGAGCTGCCTGAGGGGGCCTTTGGGGGGCCCCCTGGGGGGCCCCCTGAGGGGCCCTTCCCGCCGCTTAGTGCTGCAGAGGAGGGGACCCCTGGGGGCCGTGGGGGCCCCCCTGATTGGCCTATTGAATGGCTTAGTGATACAGAAGAGGGGGCCCCTGGGGGGCCCCCCATAGAGGGGCCCCTTGGGGGCCCCTCTGAGGCGGTCGATGGCGGTGAGTAGGAGACCCCTTATAGGTGCCCTATTGGGGGCCCCCTTGGGGGCCCCTCTATATCTGTGTTGATTTGTTGTTGATGAGCTGAGTTGTATTTTGTTTGCTGCTGCTGCTGCTGCTGCTGCTACTGCTGCCGCTGCTGCTGCTGCTGCTGCTGTTTGTGCTGCAGATGCTGGGCTTGCAGCAGCAGGAGCAGCAGCAACAACAGCAACAGCAACAGCAACAGCAGCAGCAGCGCCTGCAGCAACATGTCGCAGCGTCGAGCAGCAGCAGCAGCAGCAACACCAGCAGCAGCAGCAGCAGCAAAGACAGCAGCAGCAGCAGCAACACCAGCAGCAGCAGCAGCAGCAAAAACAGCAGCAGCAGCAGCAGCAGCGGGGTGCTGCTTCATCTACAACAACAATAAAGGTGAGGGTGTGGGGTTTATTGGGGTGTATGTACACCCCAGTTGTTGCTGCAGCAGCAGCATTTGTTTTTCTTTTTTTTTTTTTTTTTTTTTTTNTTTTTTTTTTTTTTTTTTTTTTTTTTTTTTTTTCTTCTTCTGCACATCAATTCCTTCTAACCCTAAACCCTAAACCCTAAACCCTAAACCCTAAACCCTTTTTCTATTTGTATTTCTTATCATTAGGCCTTCAAGACAACCACAAAAAAACCAGGGGGCCCCTCATCCTCAATGGGGGCCCCCTCTGTACCCTCTAGGGGGCCCCCTAGGGTTTCCTCAAATCGTCGTAAAGTGGGTCCAGGGGCCCCCAACCAGCAGCAGTTCAGGTGTATATCATGTGGGGGGCCCCCTCTTCTTGCTTATAGAAGCTGAGGTGTCTGCGCAGCTCGAGGAGACAACACAAGTTACACACAGAGACCCCACGCCGCAGCCCTTCATACAAAAACCCCACATCACCAACAAAACTATCCCGGGGGGCCCCCAGGGGGCCCCCACCAAAGGGGGCCCCCAAGGGGGCCCCCAAGAAGGCCCCCACAGGGGCCCCCAGGGGGGCCCCCAGGGGGTTCTGCAGGGGGCCCCCCAGGGGGGCCCCAAGGAGGTTCTTCAGGGGGGCCCCCAGGGGGGCCCCCAGGAGGGTGCAGAGGGGGGCCCCCTCCCCCTGGTTGGAGTTGGGGGGCCCCCTGGTGTCGGTGGTGGGGGTGAGGGGGGCCCCCCGCTGACGGGTGGTTGGGGGGATGTTGTGGGGTGTATAAGCAAGGAGATATGTTTGCTGCTGATGAATGAGGTGTGCTGCAGAAAGGAGACAGTTGAGTTGGTGGGGGATCTATGTGGGGAGGAGACGATCCCGTTTCTGTCTCTGTACCCTCGGAGCTGCCTATACACCCCAATTATAAGGAGACAATTAAAAAAACAGCAGCAACGCATGCAGCATATTAAACACCAACAAGCTGCTGATGCTGCTGCAGCAGAAGCAGCAGCAGCAGCAGCAGCAGCAGCAGCAGCAGCAGCAGCAGNTATTCGGATTCCCTTCCTTGATGTTAGACTGTCTCCTTTTGTCTCCTTTTTCTTTTTTTTGTCTCCTTTTGTCTCCTTTTTGTTTTTCTTTGTCTCCTTTTGTCTCCTTTTGTCTCCTTTTCCTTTTTTTTGTCTCCTTTTGTCTCCTTTTGTCTCCTTTTGTCTCCTTTTGTCTCCTTTTTTTTTCTTTTGTCTCCTTTTTCTTTTTTCTTTGTCTCCTTTTTCTTTTTTTTTGTCTCCTTTTGTCTCCTTTTGTCTCCTTTTGTCTCCTTTTGTCTCCTTTTGTCTCCTTTTGTCTCCTTTTTCTTTTTCTTTTGTCTCCTTTTTCTTTTCCTTTTGTCTCCTTTTCCTTTTTCTTTTGTCTCCTTTTGTCTCCTTTTGTCTCCTTTTGTCTCCTTTTATTTCTCTCCTTCGGTCTCCTTCTGTCTCCTTCTGTCTCCTTTTGTCTCCTCTTTTGTCCCTTGTTTTGTCTCTTCTTTTGTCTCCTTTTCTGTCTCCTTCTGTCTCCTTTTGGTTGTCTCCTTTTGTCTCCTTTTGTCTCTTTCTTTCTGTTTCTTTCTTTCTGTCTCTCTTTGTCTCCTTCTGTCTCCTTCTGTTCTTTTCTTTCTGTCTCTCTTTGTCTCCTCTTGTCTCTTTTTGTCTCCTTTTGTCTCTTTTTGTCTCCTTTTGTTTGTCTCCTTTTGTCTCCTTTTGTCTCCTTTTGTCTGTGTCCCTGTCTCTGCGTTGTGTTGTCTCTGTCTCCTTCTGTTTGTATTTATATGTTTATTTATTTTAATTTATTTTATTTTATTCTTTTTCTTTCTGTTTTTGTTTATTTTATTTATATATTTTTTTCTGTCTCCTGCTGCTGTCTCCTCTCCCCCAGACAACCCCACAAAAC